AACTATATATATTCTAATTAGAAATAATGTCATACATAACAAATAAGCATACCAAAACAATGTCCTCCGTACACAAATATTTTCTCTACTATGCATTGTAATGACTATTTGGCATGGTACAAATTACCATGGTAATATGTACCACGACAAAAGGTAATCTATATACCACGGCAATAAATACAAGTTCCATGTCAAAAGTATTATGTACCTCGCCAAAAATTATATGTCCAATTCATCCAAATTCCGCACAACAAGCAGAGGACGACGAAAAACATCCCAACTGTTCAAAAGTGTAAATTATCCTCTGTACAAAAAAATTGGAAGATCCACATGTCAATGCCAAAAGCCATCTACAAAACAAAAATTACACCTATTAGTTCCATATAGCATTTCAACATAAGACCACGCAAAAAAACAGTTAATAGATCTGTAAAGGGATTTTTCCGTTTTGTATTGTTATTTTTTGGCTGAGGTGGTTTCATCTCTCAGTTATAATAATTTTGAAAATGAAATTAACATTATTGAAATTTTAGGAACCAAAACAACGCAAAGTGCACATGATTAAAAGTCCATTGGCATCCAAAAAATGGCAATCAATGTAAGGTCATGCTAATTACATCCCGTCTATCCCCACAGGTCCTATTTGACACGAGGAAGCTACCTGTGGCATCTATAGAGTGGTTCGGGGGCTACTTTGAATTTTTAGGCCCAAAAGGCCTTTTTCGGCTAAGTTTATGACGTTTTTCACGCCAACTCCCAACCTATGGACGCTAATTACATCTCATCTATCCCCAAGGGTCATATTTGACATGAGGAAGCTACCCGTGGCATCCATAGAGTGGTTTGGGGGCCGCTTTGAGTTTTCGGCCTCGAAAGGCCTTTTTCGGCTAAGTTTATAGCGTTTTTCACGCCAACTCCCAACATACACGTGCTAATTACATCCCGTCTGACCCCACAAGTCCTATTTGACACGAGAAAGCTACCCGTGCCATCTATAGAGTGGTTTGGAGGCTACTTTGAATTTTCAGCCTTAAAACCCTTTTTCGGCTAAATTTATGGCGTTTTTGACGCCAACACCCAATGTATGCATGCTAATTACATCTTGTTTGTCCCCACAGGTCTGATTTGACATGAGGAAGCTACTCGTGACACCCATAGAGTGGCTTGGGGGCTGCTTTGAATTTTCAGTCTCGAAAGGCCTTTTTCGGCTAAGTTTATGGTATTTTTCGGGCCAACTCCCAACGTACGCGTGCTAATTACATCCTGCCTATCCCTATAGGTCCTATTTTTCACAAAGAAGCTACTCGTGACATCCATAGAGTGGTTTGGGGGTTGCTTTTGGCCCTGAAAGGCCTTTTTTCGGCTAAGTTTATGGCATTTTACATGCCAACTCCCAACCTACGTGAGCTAATTACATCCCGTATTTCCCCATAGGTCTTGTTTGACATGAGGAAGCTACCCATGGCATCCATAGAGTGGTTTGGGGACTACTTTGAATTTTCGGCCCCGAAAGGCCTTTTTAGGCTAACTTTTTGGCGTTTTTGACGCCAACTCCCAACGTACGCGTGATAATTACATTCCGTCTATCCCCAGAGGTCCTATTTGTCACGAGGAAGCTACCCATGACATCCATGGAGTGGTTTGGGGGCTGCTTTGAATTTTCGGCCTCGAAAGGCATTTTTCGACTAAGTTTGTGGCGTTTTTCACTCCAACTCCCAACGTACACGTGCTAATTACATCCCATCTGACCCCACAGGTCCTATTTGACACGAGAAAGCTACCCATGGAATCCATGGAGTGGTTCGGGGGCTGCTTTGAAATATCATAACATCTCTCAACTAGTGGAGCCATGAATAGATTGGCTTTCATCTAAGTAGCACAAACACATCACACGAAATAGTGACACGGCAATTTTCAAAAAAATGAGGACAAAATAAGCTTGAGACACATTAAAATTTTATATTTTTATAAATTTATTATATGTCCAACATATGAATAGTTTATTCAAATGTACTGAAGAAGAAAAAGAAAAAGAAAAAAAAGAAACATAACACTAACTAAAATTAAAAAGTCATATATACCATAACTTAACATTAAGATATAATTCTCGCCAACTCTTGCTTTTAAAGAAAGCAAAACAATTGTGGAACATTAAATTACACATAATGTATTTATCTGATAAATGTTTCGAAACATACTTAGTGCACATTGTTACTATGAAGAGATTCATCACATAAGTCGAGTTTGGATGGTTAAAGAAGTGTTTATGAAGTGTCTGATATTATGAATTAAAATTTCAATTAAGACAGTTTGAAGAAGCGTCAAACATGCTCTTGGGAGTGCCAATAGAGTGTCGTGTCCGACATGGCACACCTCCTCCATAGTGTCCATGCTTTGGGATAGGTTTTCATCAGTCTCTAACAACCACACACATGCACACAAAACAGGGAGGAAAAAGCATGAAGAAGGAAAAAAGAAAAAAAAAATAGTACACCATTGTTCTTAAAGAACCTTAAAAAAGCAGTCTACCCTGTTTATAACAAAACCATAAACACTAAATTGCGGACAAGTAATGGTACCTGCACTTACCTGCCCAAGTCCATGCACATAGCTCCATGTAACATATATCATTTAAAAAAATATGTCATGAAGATTTTTTTGAATTTTATTTATTCTTATTATCATTTTTTTTGGATCTTTGACTTATGAAGATCGAACAACTGAAACCTCAATATCAACGATTGTATAAGTACTCGAATTGAATTCATTCGATGAGTTCGGACATTGGAAAAAATCTCTGATTGATTCACATTCACGTATGCGTAAAGGCCAATTAAATGACTAAACAGATTTTCAAACAACATATTGCAGATTGACGCAGATAAAAATATTATGGAAAAATTTTCTTTTGCTAACATGCACAAAGAACACAACCAGATAAAACTTGAATTGAATAATGCTATAACAAAGCTCAACCTATTCATATTTCCATCACAGCAATAAGTTGCAACAAGGAAACATTTATTGAAAAACCACATATTAGGAGCTAAACGTCGTACACTCTTTTGATATGTAGCCCTCTGCAATGGAACCTTCTGGCCAAGCTTTACTGCCCACAAATCCTTTCAAAAGTCCGAGCATCCTAGATGTAAACATCAACCTGTTCGTCAGTATGGTCATATTGAATTATATTTAAATGAAAAAAGTTCAGACTCGTAGTTATACCTCTCAATAGGATACATCCATCGATATTGCACAGGCCCTCTAAGCATAGCCTCGTAAGGCAAATGAATTGCCAAGTGGACCATGACATCAAAAAAAGCAGGAGGAAAAATCTTCTCAAGCTTACAAATTATAAGTACGATTTGTTCTTGCAGTTTCTCCAAATCAGTCACCCTCAATGTCTTTGAGCACAACTGTTTGAAAAAATTTCCCAACTCAAACAATGTGGTCCCAATCTCGGTAGGAGGGTATCCTCGCATCCCAATTGGAAGAATTCATTGTAGAAGGACATGGCAGTCATGACTATTGAGGCCAACTAACTTTCCACCATTCGCGGTGACACAATTGGATATATTTACCGCATAGCCATTAGGATACTTAATCGATTTCAAGAATCAGAAAATGTGTACTAGGGACAATGTGTACAATGCTGGAGGCTTCTCGAAAGAGCCATTCACATGCCTCATCAAGTGTAACTTCTTTCGTATTCTCATGTCGTCCACATCCAAACGTGCTTTGTCCGTGTCCTTGTTCTTACCATCTATGCTTAATAGTGCCCTAACCAGATTGTCACATATATTCTTTTCTATGCACATGACATCAAGGTTGTGTCAAAGCTTCAGTGTTTTCCAATAGGGTAGGTCAAACAAATGCTTTCTTTTGTCCAGTTCGAATTTGGATTTTCATTCCTTTGTCTTTTTTGGTTGTTTGGATGCTTTCCATACGGCCTGTACGTCCTCAAATTAATTTGCTCCAGTAATTGTTCTCCCAATAACTCCACAAGTTTGGACCAATTCTCAATTTCACCATTGAAGAGCTTACTTCTTCGCCAATTATGGTTCTCAGGTAAATACCGCTGAGCACCCATATACCCTATCTTACTTCGCAAACTCTGAGATGATGCATCCATGTTACAATTAGGGCAAACCAAATAACCTTTTGTACTCTAACCAGACATGTTACCATATGCAGGGAAGTCATTGATGGTCCACATGACTGCTGCATGCATTGTAAATATTTGGCCATTTGAGGCATTATATATTTGCACAGCATGCTCCCACAGATTGGTTAACTCCTCTACTAATGGTTGCAAGTAAACATCGATGTCTCTTCTAGGTGCGGATCGTCCGGGACTAAGCAATGACATCATGACAAATGGATCTTTCATACACTTCCATGGGGGTAGATTGTAAGGCATTAAGATTACGGGCCACATGCTGTACGATGTACTCATATTTCCAAATGGATTGAAACCATCCGTGGCAAGCCCTGGCCTTACATTCCGAGGATCCGCAGAGAACGTAGGATGCAACCTATCAAAGTCCTTCCATGCCTCACCATTAGCTGGATGTTGTAATACTCCATCATCCACATGCTTATCTTTATGCCATCTTATATATGCGACTATTTTTTTCGACATGTACAATCTCTTCAACCTTGGTGTCAAAGGAAAGTACTTCAATGTTTTGTGTGGAATTTTTTTACCCACCTTGTCATTCAACTTGTATCTAGACTCCGTACATATAGGGAAATTCTCCAATGTTACGTTGTCCTTCCAAAATAAAGTACAATCATTCTTGCATGCATGAATCGCCTCGTATCCCAAACCCAATTCACATAAGAACTTTCTCACGTCATAAAGGGTCCATGGAACAATTTGATCACACTTTCGTAGAATGTTTTTAAAAACTTGCATAACCATATTGAAAGATTTGTTGCTCCATTTATTGTACACCTTGATGTGAAGCATCTTAATTACGAAGGACAAGATGGAGAACCTTTCACACTCTGGATATACTTTGCGTTGAGCATCGTCAAACAACTTCATGAACTTCAACAAATTGTGCCTCTCCGAACTAGTACACTTTTCTCTGATATGATCATCCATAAGACCGTTCATGTAAATCTCTTCTAACATGGTAAGAAGTTCACCCAAATTTTTGTGATTGGCTGTCATTCCAACTCCGTTGCTTTCAGTATCATCGTTTCGCTTAGTAGGATGATCACAAGACATGGGAACATGTTCCCTGTGGTGCATCCAAGTTCGATAAGAACACGCGATTCCTCTTCGAATCAAGTGCAACCGTAAAACTTGTCGACTAAATTTTTTGCCGTTCAAGCAATCGACAAACGGAGAACGAATTTCATCTTGAGGCCCTAAATTCTTCGTAGCAAACTCAATAAATGACTGAACACCTTATTGTTACTCTTTACTTTTCAGCCTATCTTTTATCATCATCCAACTCTTGTCCATTATTCGAACCCTACACATCAAGCAAAGATGAACAAGCAGAAGTAATATTCATTGAGAGTGAGAGATTACGCTTTCTACTCGTTGAAAGGCTTGAAAAATATAGTAGACGAAACAAGGTGGGTATGGAAAAGTAAAATATTAACGTAATTTTCTAAATAATTAGTATTTTGTATTTTAATTTCAAATATTGTTATTGTGATTATTAGAAAAAATCCACGTCATCTATAAAAAATATTATTTTATTCCATGTCATCACCACATCATTGTGCCTAGCCATTAGTGCACTATCTGGACCCGTTAGATATGGACTTGTTAGATCCACCATGAGCCCTATTTCAATAAAAAAAAAAAAAAATTTGATATGACAATTATAATATGTTTAATTTATCGTGTTTGTCACAAAAATATGAATAGTTTATTTTTAAAAACACACTTACCCTTTTTTTTAGGGAGGTGGGGGGAGAGATAGAAATAACAAATTGAAAAGGCTAATATATCGAATCAACCTAATTTTTTTTAATGATAAACTGTTCAAATTATTAAAATAGAATCCATGATAGGCCCTATGGGACTGGACAACACCATTCAATCTATTGCTATCAAAATCTCAATTAAAAAAGAGTAAAATCAAAATTAGTATAAAAAAAAGAGTCATTCTTTGGTACATACGTATGCAAATTATAATATTTGTGATGTTGATTATCAAATTTATCATAACTAAATTTTTTCAGTCATAATTAAAAAATAATAATGAGCCATAACCAAGGGTAATGCTATGGTACATACCCTCAAAAAGGTGTGTACAAAATGTGAGTTATGATATTTGTTTAGTTTTTTTTTAATAACTGAGTGTTTGTACTAGTTTATGATATTTGTGAAGATGATTACCATAAATGTCATAACTCAATCTTATGTGAGTCATAACTACGAAAGAAAAAAGAAAAAAAAAGAAGAATTATAACCAAACATCATATAAAATATAACTAAACAGCTTTTCAATTATAACTAAAATAATATCATAACCAATATCACAATGAGTCATAACTAATACCATAAATTACTTCAGTGGTGGGCTGGTGACAATTTGAGAAAAGTTGAAAGGAAAATCTAGAGAGTTGCAATACTTTGGTCCTTTTGAAAGCACATAAATAAGTGTGTATTTAATGGTTGCAATCCCAGTTTTAATGAAGTATGTGAACTTGTCAACATTAGATTTGCTCTTTGGATTAAGTCTTCTAATAAGATGGCACATTTTTCAGTAAATGACTTTGTAACCTGAGACAAATGAAGTCTGCTTTGGTGGAAGACCTTTTTGATATGCTTATGTTATTGGGTGGCTGCTGTCAAGATTAGCTATTTTTTGCTCTGGTTTGTGTGGCTAAAAATAGGGCAGCCAGAGTGGTTGTTGTTATTTTGATTTTCGTTGTTGGTTTCTCATCAATCTTGGTGTGATGTTAGCATATGATTGAATTTGTATATTGGTGCCAACATAATTAGGATGGGTGTGTTTATTATGATTCTTCTTGCACTCTCACCTTCCTTCCCTTTATTAATCTAGTCCTTGTATGATGTACTTTGCGATTTATCAATAATGTTCTTTTTTAGCAGATCAAAAAAAAAAAAAAAACTAATGTCGTAATGTTTATAACTAAATCATAACCAACACTCCAATGTAATAAGCAAAGACTATACAAGTTGTAATATATGATACACACCCCATTTAGAGTTTTCCAAGAACAAAACACCGCATAAGAAAAGAAAAGGAAAAAAAAGAGGCTAATTGATATTTGATATAATATGTCATTTAATTAGGAATTATGCTAAAAATGTAAAAATTAGATTTGAAATTAGGAAAAAATCACGTTTCTTAATTGATACTCCCTGTTTTGCAGTTATTTATTTATTTATAAAGACAATGAAATATAGAGAAAGACAATAAAGGGTATAATTTCCTCTTTATAACTATTATCAACAACATTAGTGCCGCAATTTAAACTAAAATCACATATAGAGTATGTGCCTATTAACGGACCCACAAAACATTTATTTCTAGTAATAAATGATGACAAACTTTACACTCTTCTAATCCCATAAATGCCTTTAATCTCTCAACCCTATGTTTCTCTCTCTCATTGCATTCCGTTATGCATTTCATCACTCCTCTCTCTACCATCTACATATCAAGATTCAAGTAAGTTCTATTCTTTTTTCTTTCTTTCTTTTTTTTTTAATGCCTTAATTTGATATTCGTAAGATTCTTGTTCATGTTAAGTGAAAATGCATTTATTTGGAAGTAAGTTTTTGATCCAATTAAATAGAAAAAGCAAATATAATTTGGTAGACCTCTATAAACGAATGTTGTTCGAGGTTTGTTTTCTATTATTTATTTATTTATTATTATTTTTTTTCAGTTGAACATTTAAGTTTTATCTAACCCACTTGCAAATGTGAATGAAGCTTTTTTTTTTTTTACTATTTCAATTGCAGCATCATATCATCAAATTCCAATTCAAATATTTAGCCATGGTCAATAAACATACAATCTCATATTACCAGCCATACATGCAAATAAACACACAACAATGGATTAGGGCTTTCAAACTACTAAGAGAGAAAGGAAAAAGAGAGGAAAATCAAACCAGTTGAACCCAATTTCAAAAATTACAAACCAATTTCAGAATTCAAACCAGTTGAATCCATAAAACCAGTTGAACCCAATTTCGGAAATGGATTAGGGCTAACTATTTTGGCCATAAAACCCTTAAAATTGAAGAAAACAAACGTGCATTGAACCAAACCAATTTCAGAAATCAACACAAAATTAAACTAAAAAAAATCATATCAAACCCGTGAGTATTTTGTGAGAAATGAGGAAATAGAATAAGCGAGAGAGAGAGAGAGAGAGAGAGAGAGAGAGACCTGTGATTCGCTGCAGTAGGGGAGGTGATTTGCGGCGGTGGCGGTGGCGACATGTGACACTGGTAAGCGATGATGGCCAGCGACGGTGGTGCGCGATGGTGGTGATCATTAGTGGTGAGCAGGGGTGAGGTTTGGTGCAGATTCTGTTCTCTGTGTGTGTGACACAAAACATAGAGCAAACTATGTAAGTGTAGAGAGGAGACGCAGGTGCCAAAATTAATTCGTTTCCCTCTAAAAAAAAAAATTCAAGCTTTAGCGACCAAAAAACATTTTGTAGCCAAAAGATAGGTTATTGACGACCGAAACTTTTGTAGCCAAAAGTACCATTTCGGTACTATTTTTTTTTTGGTCGGCAAAGAGTTATTATATGACGACTAAATGTTTTTAGTCACCAAAACCTCATGTTTGGCGACCAAATTCTTTGGTTGGCAAAAAGAATAAAAAAAAATTCACTAACTGTTTGGCGACTAAACTTTATTTTGTCAGAAAATAATTATATTTTCCGACCAAATTAAATTTTTAGTAGCCCAAAGTTCAGACTATCGCCGACTAATAGTTTTTTAGTCGTCTATTAGCGAATATTTAGCGACTAAATATTTTCTTTAGTCGCCAATAAATAAGATATCTCGACTAAAAGAATATAGTAGCTGAAACTTGAATCATTGCCAGCTAATTTATTTTTTAGTCGCCAAAACTGTCACTTTTGGCGACTAATTTTATTTTGGTTGCCAATTTTGTCACCAAATGTGTAAATTCTTGTAGTGCGCCACTATGAAGAAGGTGATGGAATGGTTAGTAGGATTAGGGTTAGGGTTTTGAAAATTAGGGTGAGAAGGTGAGAGACAAGGGTAAAAATGGAATTTCATGTTTGGACAGAATTGGAATTAAAAAAATAAAAAAGATGGGTAGTCCAGGAAATTCTATTTCCACAAACCTACTTACCTCAGTGCATATCATTTCTTAATGCACACACTTATTAATTTGATTATTAGTCATTGTTCTTATTCCACAGACTAAATGTTCAAATCACACCCTTAACTCATATCCTTGTACACACACCACCTCAACCCTCTTTCCATACACTTGTTCAAAATTGTATACCAACAGTTCAGACCCTATTTTGGTTTAAGGTGATGTAGAGTTTTTAATTGGTGGTGTGACTGTGAAACAGAGGAGGATCAGTGGGTAGAACTTCAATGAAGATAGGTCTTAACTAGACCCTGTTTTTCCCGGGAGTAATCAAGATGATGATATTGTAAAACAATTCAGATTTGGCGGTGAAACCACCATTCAAGATAGGAAAGGAGAGTCAGATTACAGACTTAAATGGGTGGAGGTGAGATTGGTAGTGGTAGTAGATCAATGGATGGAGAGGTGATGATGGGGAGTTTGATGTTTTAGAAGAAGAGTTTAGATGATTAGAGGCAAAAGGTGATCGGTATAATTGATATAATTAGTGGGGAAGAGAATGTGGAGATCAACAGAGAATTACAGTTGATGCAAGTGATTGAGAATCTGAAGATGGAATTGGAGGTTGTAAAGAAGAGGAACTTTGTATTGGAGATGGAATTGAGGGTTTCTTAGTTCACAACAAAATAGCAGTTCCTCTGATTTAAGATGTTTCCATGGATTTTAATGGCTCTCTCTCTTTCTCTCTCTCTCTCTCTCTCTCTCTCTCTCTCTCTCTCTCTCCCCAATATATATATATATATATATATAAATTAGGATTTAGTTTTTTTTAATCAAAAGATGTGCACTGAGATTTTTTTTTTTTTAAAAAAAAAAAGATGTTTAGAGAGAAAATTTAAATTTAAGGGCGAATTACACTAACAGTCCTTATAGTTTGGGGAGGCTTATGTCACTTT